ATAACTAAACAAAATGATTATAGAATTAAACCTTTAGGAATTGAATGCTCATATGAAACATTTTCCACCTTAAATACACACGTGTTTTTCAGATGGGAATTCAGCCGAACTTTTTTCACGATGGAATTTTGTTTTGAGTCGTTTCGACATAAGCATTCGCTATCAAGACATTACACGAAAAACCCCAGTCACCGTTCTAGCTCTCGTTGTAAGGTCAAAGCTACACCTGTTACATAACGTCAACCCGTTGTATCGTCGAGCATGCTTGCGGCTTATTGCCGAAAATGCGACAAAGGATGAACTACGACAGTTGATTTGAACCAAAAATAACAAACGCTTTAACTCTATTGGAATTGGAGCTAAGCTGCTCTAGCTCTTTCAGTGATGTTGTATATACCTCAAAGCTTAGAGGAAACAAGAGCTAAGAAAAAGGATTCGCAATGGTTCCTCCTAAGATACTTTGGACTTGAACGTCGCTTCAACGACCTTCTGAAGTCTTCGTGAAGTCGGCCATTGCTTCGCATGCAATGGAGAACCCGCGTAGAACACAGACCAATTATTTTTATCAGGGAGGGGAGTCTCTTGATATTTCTTTAAAAAGAAAAAAATTATTTGTTATTTCATTTTTAAGATAAAATTCTATTTCTATAACGATAAATATTTGATTGACATTAAATAAAAGCTGTTTTATAAATTTCAAGTTCTCTTTGCGTTTTAGCTTCGAATTTTTGGATAGAATAAAATGACAGGCAGCCTACTCCACTGGGTCGAGTTTTGCTGTGCAAATTCCTCCCGTCGGGGGGTTATGTTTACAACATGAGCTTGTCAGCTTTGYGCTGATTGGCTAGTCGCATTTTCTCAAATCACCCAGAACTGATTGGATGAACAGAAATGTGGCGTAAGTTGATTAATTGAGGGCCTCTCTTGCACCGTGCACGTAATTACCGTGCTATCTTGATATTTAAGAACAAAATATTTTTTGTTTTGTTTTGTCTTTGTAAACAGAATGTCAAAATGAATTCCTTTCAAAAATTTTAAGATTAAATCGCTATATATCGCTTTCTTCTTTGTCAACCACCATGTTGTATTTTATGATTTGTTCTTTAAATTAAAACTCATCGACAAAGAGTTTGGACTGGGTACCGGGTGAGCGCGTGTTGCCGAGCACGAGCCACGCCCTAGCAACAAGGTAACCATGGCAACCGGGCCAYAGCTCACCACCTGTACCTGTCACACTGTATAACAGTGGAATGAATACTCACCTATTGAGATCTACCAGAAGAGGAGGGTGGGTGGGAGAAGTAAAAAAACTCCCGCTCGTGCTAAAAACTTGCTAGCACTGCAAACGCTGCCAGTATGCCCCTAGTTCCAATAGGGGCCCCCCACACTGGGTTAAAGACCGCTGGGCGCAAAGATTGTCTCGATTTTAACTTAAATTACATTAAATTAGATTTTAACCTAAATTACATTCAGCCACATTTAAAACTCATCTATAAATGAGTATGGGCTGGGTACCGGATGAGCGCGTGTTGCCGAGCAGGAGCCGCGCCCTAGCAACAAGGTAACCATGGCAACCAGGCCACAGCTCACCACCAGAGATGACCAAGGGTGCTTGGTAAACACTGTATCCGGTTACCATGGTACCAAAAAAACCAAACAAAGTCCAAGCACCCAGGAATAGTCAACTTTAGATATTTTGTTTCGATGACTATGTACAAAAGAACGCACACGAGGCTCCGGGAAAACAATGGATAATCTTGATTTATTCTTTTATTTCCCCGGAGCCTCGTCTGCAATTCTTTTGTGCATGGTCACTGAACCAAAATATCTAAAGTCGGCTATTAAGAGACCACATAAGATTGCAACTGAGCACACAAGCAATGATTTATTAATCACGTTACAAGCACAAAGAGGACGACGCCGAGGTCAAGACATCCAATCTCGAGCCCAGAGTCTTCTCGGCTAATGTCAGCGGTATGCTGACGCCAGAAAGATTCTGGAGGAATCGACTGGATTTGCGACGCTTTTCCGTCGCAAATTATGCAAATTAGGTCAATTTTGTTTTTGCCGCTTTAGAGCATCAAAATGATACAAAAAAAGAAGTTTTAGCACACAACATAGTCAAGAAGTCATGTGTGGTTATGCGAGAAAAGGATGATTTTCTTGACTAACAGGGCGAGCGCGCGCTGGCGACTTGAAAAACCGACTTGAAAACAATGCGCGCTCGCGTCATCACGAATCGAGAAATAACGCATTCCTCCAGAGTCTCTCACGCATTAACATCCGCTGGATGGCAAAAGTGCGGGCTCTGGGTACGAGATTGAAGACATCCAAAGGTGTCCTGATATAGCTTTGGAAAGCGTTGCTAGACCAGCGTCCTAAAGACTGGATCAGATGATCGGGGAGACCGTTACGGGCTGCCACGGTCGCCGCACCAATTCTAAAACTATGGCTAGAATAGTTCCCTGGACCTTTGCAAGGCATAGACTTTCTCTCAGCCATTTAGTTAAAATGTCACGCGAAAACGGTTGACCTGACTGTAGACGGAATAAGGGGCCAGGAGCATCACCGCGGATGCTAAGATAAGACAGCACCGCTCTGAAGTACAGCACACAAGGGCGGCTTACCACATTCTATGAAGATGTGCGTTCCATGGCGGAAAGGATCGGTTTTAGAAGCCTTGATTGTGACGCGTAAACAGGAAGGGTTGGTCATGAAGTCTACTGAAAGGTCATTCACGTTTAGATGGACGTCGGAGGCGTAAGAGACTAAATTAGGAACCGTGAACTCGGCGAAGCGCAGGAACCCAAAATAGGCTAAACAGCAAGCCCAGAACATGATGTGATCAGCCGGAGGCAAGTCGAGGTGGCGATGGATACAATACATTATGTCAATAGTAACGGAAGACGATCGGCCGGTTTAGTAGAATGAGTACGCTTGATACCCCGCAAAACCCTTTGCAGTCTCAAGCAATCAGAGAGGGGATCGGGAAATCCCAGTACAACATGAAGGGCTCGAACCGCGGACAAATAAACCTTAATGGAGCCGTGGTTGATGGTACCTGCGAGGTGAGTAGCGAAGAGACATAACGTCCACTCGTCAGCCGGGCAAGGCGAGCCGTTTTGATTAATCTTCCCTAGTTGCGTGCAGAATTGAATGAATCTTCGCTGACCACTTGCGTAGGAGCGACGCGTTGACGGTGCGAGACCCTGAAGTAGCAATTCGCGGCAACGTGACTCTAAGGAGACAGGGAGAGATCCGCCAACAGTTGACCTGGGATTGACGTAGGAGACGCTCGGGCCCATGGCGCGAGATGCAGGAACACCTGCCAATTGAAGCGAGAGAGAGCATCAGCAATAACATTCTCAACACCAGGAACGTGCACAACAGAAAAGGTGAAGTTGAATCTAAAAGCAGCTAGAAGCAAACTACGGAGAAGTTTCATAATAGAAGGAATTTTTGAGTTGCGCGAAGTCAGAATTGCAACCACCGCTTCGTTGTCGGAACGAAAACGGACATGTTGCTGGCTCCACCGGTGGCCCCAAATATAGCTCGCGATGACCACGGGAAAGAGCTCTTTGTAAGCAATTGAGAGAGGCCTCAGAAGGCACCATAGCCGATCGCGCCGGATGCATCAGACGTTTTGATCAAAGATCCATTGAGAAAAATTGATCACAAGAAAACTATGATATTAAAACCTTCACAGATTACTTGTCCGGAAGAATTTCGTTGCCATTGTAGAGAGCGCATGGATCAGAGTTAGTCATTATTATTGTAAAACCGTTTTTATAAAACCAATAAATCTTATTGTAAACAGTCATTCAGTCTCTGGACTTGTTGGTGTTATTTCAGTCTATTACGATTTAAGGTATCTGGATACAGTTGTTTAGAACACCGACCGGGACGAAAGAAACGGGTCAAAAAGTAATTTAAGTTGGTCAGATCGTAATAATATTTTACTACATGATTAACAAGGGATTCAAATTTATATTGAGTATTTTTTTTGGAAAATCGGATTTAATTTATGCGTTTTATGGGGAAATCCAGGAAAAYRCTTTWACAGVTATWTCAAACRAWYWARVCYWWTTTTTTCCGCGATATCTCAGGGACATAATATTAGAGGTATTGCCTAACTATTATCAAAGTTTGGTCGGAATTCATCGATCAGGAAAGACAACATTATTCTTGCTTGGAGCAAGAATTTTCAAAGAAAAAGAGCGTATACAAAATCAAAAATTCACATTTTACTTTGTACCAAAAATATATATTGAGCGATTTCTGGAAAAGAACTTCCCTATCATATTGCTACGTTCATGCAGAGTTTCGGCAGTGTACACCAATTCGTTGGGGAGTTAATGGTATGGAGCAAAAGGTATGTCTTTAGTGCATGGTAGCTCTTTTGAGACAAACAGACTCTGACAGCCTTAACTCGAAATCGAATCCTAGAATTTGTTTTAAATTTGCTGTCCATAAAGCCAAACCCCCTTTAGTGTTTTCGCATCTCACTGATTTTGAATTGATTATTTGCAACGGACGCAACGTCACAGCCCATTGTACTCATAGACTACTCACAGGGTCTGAATGGAATTAACCGACTAGCAACAAATGGACAAAATAACTACTGACTAGCGACAAATTTGAACAAAATTTGCTGACTACCGACATTAACAAATTTACTGACTGACGATATTTTCGAATATTCAAAGATGTTAGCTCCGAGAATACAAGCTTTTTTTTTATTTTTCAAGCAACTACATTCGAAATTGTCCGCGGAAAAAATAAATTTTAATTCGGATTG